CATCGATGATGATGGATGCTAGTGGGGCCGGGGGGGGTGACAATCCTTCTGATTCTTTTTTTGAGGGTCTCTCTGGCTGGTTTCAAAATACCGCCGAACCTGGGGAAGAAATAAATTCGCAGCCTTCTCAGGGAGTCGGGCAGCGGCTTCCTGGTGCGCTCGAAAGAAATTCCCCGGGCATAAGCGGGGAGTCTATCTTTAGGGACTTTGAAGAGTTTCTCTTTAAATGCATGTTGAATAAAGCGCTTCTCACCGGGAGCTTTTACCACTGTTTGTGTTTTCTTGGAGTTTATTAGTAATTTTTAGACACTTCCACAATGGGGTCAATCTCAAAACATCCATCATGTTCACTCTTTCACTGAACTATATATATAGACTTTGAAAACCATTTGTATGGTGAATGAGTTATTGAATGGGTGCCATGGCTCATTAATGATCACGTGGTACTGTCTTTTGGAAAATTAGTCTATGTAAGAGACCAGAGATAAGTTTAAAATATGGCTGATATATCATTTGGATAATGATTTAAAATGTGCCATACTTTGTGTCAAAGCATGTTTCAAGTTTTCATTATTCCATTGAACTAGCAGGATTTAAATAATGATTTAGAATGTGCCATACTTTGTATTCTTGCAACCTTTACTGCATTGAAAAGGCAGTGTTCAAATTCACTTGGTATTTGTTAAATCTTCTTCAAATTTATGTAGAATTTTCACTTGCAAGGTTGCTTACATTGCATGATCAGTTTTTGTAATATCATATAAAATTATATTACATGATTTGCTTCTTGTTTTCTTAGTTCGTTTTCTTATCTGTGCATATCACTTTTATTTTTCTGAATGCTCACCATGTTGGCACATCCTCTGAATGTTGGTCATACATTTAATTACTCGCTCAATTCTTAAGCAATCATCCATTCTTTGAGAAAGACCACTAGCATGTGATCTGTTGTGAACCATAGTCTAATTATCTCCTACTAGGCCTTTCAAGAACAATAAATATGTGCAATTCATAAATAGTGTGTGACTGATATTTCTAATAATTCTACTGGTCATATATCAACATTAAGCTGTGTTGTCAATGTGAAGAGAACATGTGCCATGTCTGACACATGTCTGAAAAGAAATGAGTAGGCATCATACATGTATTGAGTTTGACATGTGCACATCTCGTTTTATTTTTAGTGGTTACGGTTTGCCCTCTTCTTTAACTTATTGATCCTTGATAGTGGCATCTAAAACAGCACCATGTGATCTATTATCTCATGGGCCACATCATTTTAACAATAATTTCTCAAACAAATGGATTTCAACAAACTATTGGAAACTATAAATGCACTATCTTCCTTCACAACATCACAAACCACTCAAGCAAACAAATTTAGATACACTTTTCTTAAATCCGAGAAATTCAACTTGTTTTTCAAACCATTAGAAGATGGGTTTCCGATTACCTGCTATTAGACGGGCTTCATTTACTGGTAGCCAATCATCATCAAAAGCTTTGAATGTGCCAAAAGGTTATCTTGCAGTGTATGTCGGAGAGAAAATGAAGCGCTTTGTTATCCCTATGTCTTACTTGAACCAACCTTCATTTCAAGACTTGCTGAGTCAAGTAGAGGAAGAATTCGGATATGATCATCCGATGGGCGGCCTTACAATTCCTTGTGCAGAAGATGTTTTCTTACATATTACTTCTAGCTTCAATGGACTATAAATCTAGAGCTGCAAGAGACTGACATTAGATTAGCAGTGACATTTTTGTACAATAGTCACAACTTAGATTTGTATATGGAATGGGTTAGAATTGACCATCTGTTCAGGAACAGATTATTTGTTATTATTTATTTCTAATTACAATGACTCATTATATTCAACAACTCATTGGGCTCCTATATGCTTCTATTTATAAATTCTAAAACTGACTTCTGTTAGGGAAAAAAGAAAATATACTGTTTATCAAGTTTCAGTTCAATCAGTCATATTTTACTAATGTTGAATGCATGTTGAAGGAAGTTCTTAAAATTATCAAACCAATTACTCTACATTTATTGGCCTAATAAAGCATTCAGCCAAACTCTAATAGTTGATAAGCTTTCTTGTATCTAGGCATCCAGTTTTTACACATTTCTTATGCTTCAGATGCTTACTACTGCTTTTAAGTATCAGACTATTGCAAAGAATGAATAAAAGGCCAACACGAAACACTTGGTCCACTTTTAAACCATTCATCCTCTGAATGGCTTTCGAAACAAGAGTTTATAATATCTATATTGACTTGAAATTCATGTTTAACTGCTATTATATGTAGATTGTGGCTGGACGCGGAATTGGCATTGGAAGACTTTTCATAATTAGGTCAATAAGTGATACGCCTGAACTCTATTATGTTTAGCTTCTATTTTTTAGCCTATAATATTAATTAATATATGTTCTGTTCACACTGTTTAGTCGTGGAATTGCCCCTGAAATATATGAACTTCATTTTTTCACTCTCTTTACCAAAACTATATTTTTAATTTGTGAGAGTATACTAAATGTAGGGAGGTTGTGACAATCAAGTAGGAAATCTTTGTAGTTTGGAGAAAGGTTTTTCCTTTAAAGATTTTTTGTTTGAGTTTTGTTGTATCATGTATGGACCATGGCCTTGCCAGTACCACTTTTGCACATTGCCATATCTATTAGTATTTAGTAGTAATAGACATTTTCCGTAAAATCAGTGCATGGCCTGTGTTTGTGAATAGAATGCAAGTATTTAAGATGAACAAAAAATAACAGATGAATTCACAAGAATATAGTTTGATGATATACTCATTTCAGATTTCTACTTAAGAGGAAACATCAAAATGGATAACAAAATTCTGGATGTACAAATTTTTTCTCAACTAGTCATTCCTACACTATTCTATGTTATCAAGCCAATATGACTTCTTTTTTGCCGTATGGATTAGTTATAGGTTGTTCAAGCGAGAAGTTGTTTGTATGAAGATATCTTCCTTGCAGGGAATTGTAAGACCACCCATTGGATGACAATAACCAAATTCCTCTTCAGCTTGACTAAGCAATTCTTGAAACAAAGGTTCGTTCAAGAACGATACTGGAATCAAGAACCTCCTTGCATTCTCTCCAACATAAACGGCAAGATAGCCTTTTGGGACTCCCACTTCTTTTCTAGATGCTTGGCTTGCACTAAACGATGATCGTCTAATACCAGGTAAGCGAAAACCCATTCTTGTTTTTTTTTCACAATAGAATGATCTCAAAGATTTAGTAGAAGAAAGCAGTGAACTTGATTTCTGATGCTTCAAAGTATGAATGGTTTGTGTTACTTGTAAACTCAATAATGGATATATATATAGAAAACCAATTGTATGGCGAATGAGTTATTGAATGAGGTTTAGTGGGAGCCATGGCTCATTAATGATCACATGGTACTGTCTTGAAGGCTTTCATAGGGACTGTATGAAATGTGAGATTACATGACCCACCTTTTGGACAACTAGTGTATGAAAGAGACCTGAGATAACCTACTTATTATATTTCAGACAAGCTCTAAACACATCAAATATCTTGTTCTTGTTTTTGTAAGACAAGTGATATCTATCTGTACTTGATATCCAACAAATAAACCATGCAATCTTCTTAGAAGCTGCTGCAACTTTGTATGGGCAGACTACTGCCACATTGTTGATCTAGCCGTAAAATGTGGCTGATATATCATTTGGATAATGATTTAAAATGTGCCATACTTTGTGTCAAAGCATGTTTCAAGTTTTCATTATTCCATTGAACTAGCAGGATTTAAATAATGATTTAGAATGTGCCGTACTTTGTATTCTAGCAACCTTTACTGCATTGAAAAGGCAGTGTTCGAATTCACTTGGTATTTGTTAAATCTTCTTCAAATTTATGTAGAATTTTCACTTGCAAGGTTACTTACACTGCATGATCAGTTTTTGTAATATCATATAAAATTATATTACATGATTTGCTTCTTGTTTTCTTAGTTGGTTTTCTTATCTGTGCATATCACTTTTATTTTTCTGAATGCTCACCATGTTGGCACACCCTCTTAATCTTGGTCATACATTTAATTACTCGCTCAATTCTTAAGCAATTATCCATTCTTTGAGAAAGACCTCTAGACCGTAGCATGTGGTCTGTTGTGGTCCGTACTCTTGTTATCTCCAACTTGGCCCTTCAAGAACAATAAATATGTGCAACTCTTAAATAGAGTGTGATTGATATTTTTCGTAATTCTACAGGTCATATATCAACATTAAGTTGTGTTGTCAATGTGAAGAGAACACGTGCCATGTCTGATGCATGTCTGAAAAGAAACGAGTAGGCATCATACAATACGAGTTTGAAATGCGTACATCTCATTTTATTTTTAGTGGTTACGGTTTGCCCTCTTCTTTAACATATTGATGCTTGATAGTGGCATCTAAAACAGCACCATGTGATCTATTATCTCATGGGCCACATCATTTTAACAATAATTTCTCAAACAAATGGATTTCAACAAACTATTGGAAACTATAAATGCACTATCTTCCTTCACAACATCACAAACCACTCAAGCAAACAAATTTAGATACACTTTTCTTAAATCTGAGAAATTCAGCTTGCTTTTCAAACCATTAGAAGATGGGTTTCCGATTACCTGCTATTAGACGGGCTTCATTTACTGGTAGCCAATCATCATCAAAAGCTTTGAATGTGCCAAAAGGTTATCTTGCAGTGTATGTCGGAGAGAAAATGAAGCGCTTTGTTATCCCTATGTCTTACTTGAACCAACCTTCATTTCAAGACTTGCTGAGTCAAGTAGAGGAAGAATTCGGATATGATCATCCGATGGGCGGCCTTACAATTCCTTGTGCAGAAGATGTTTTCTTACATATTACTTCTAGCTTCAATGGACTATAAATCTAGAGCTGCAAGAGACTGACATTAGATTAGCAGACATTTTTGTACAATAGTCACAACTTAGATTTGTATATGGAATGGGTTAGAATTGACCATCTGAATGACAAGTACAATAGTCACAACTTAGATTTGTATATGGAATGGGTTAGAATTGACCATCTGAATGACAAATTCAGGAACAGATCATTTGTTATTATTTATTTCTAATCACAATGACTCATTATATTCAACAACTCATTGGGCTCCTATATGCTTCTATTTATAAATTCTAAAACTGACTTCTGTTAGGAAAAAAAGAAAATATACTGTTTATCAAGTTTCAGTTCAATCAGTCATATTTTACTAATGTTGAATGCATGTTGAAGGAAGTTCTTATAATTATCGAACCAATTACTCTACATTTATTGGCCTAATAAAGCATTCAGCCAAACTCTAATAGTTGATAAGCTTTCTTGTATCTAGGCATCCAGTTTTTACACATTTCTTATGCTTCAGATGCTTACTACTGCTTTTAAGTATCAGACTATTGCAAGTAATGAATAAAAGGCCAACACGAAACACTTGGTCCACTTTTAAACCATTCATCCTCTGAATGGCTTTCGAAACAAGAGTTTATAATATCTATATTGACTTGAAATTCATGTTTAACTGCTATTATATGTAGATTATGGCTGGACGCAGAATTGGCATCGGAAGACTTTTCATAATTAGGTCAATAAGTGATACGCCTGAACTCTATTATGTTTAGCTTCTATTTTTTAGCCTATAATATTAATTAATATATGTTCTGTTCACACTGTTTAGTCATGGAATTGCCCCTGAAATATATGAACTTCATTTTTTCACTCTCTTTACCAAAAGTATATTTTTAATTTGTGAGAGTATACTAAATGTATGGAGGTTGTGACAATCAAGTAGGAAATCTTTGTAGTTTGAAGAAAGGTTTTTTCTTTAAAGATTTTTTGTTTGAGTTTTGTTGTATCATGTATGGACCATGGCCTAGCCAGTACCACTTTTGCACATTGCCGTATCTATTAGTATTTAGTAGTAATAGACATTTTCCGTAAAATCAGTGCATGGCCTGTGTTTGTGAATAGAATGCAAGTATTTAAGATGAACAAAAAATAACAGATGAATTCACAAGAATATAGTTTGATGAAATACTCATTTCAGATTTCCACTGAAGAGGAAACATCAAAATGGATAACAAAAGTCCGGATGTACAAATTTTTTCTCTACTAGTCATTCCTACACTATTCTATGTTATCAAGCCAATATGACTTCTTTTTTGCCGTATGGATTAGTTATAGGTTGTTCAAGCGAGAAGTTGTTTGTATGAAGATATCTTCCTTGCAGGGAATTGTAAGACCACCCATTGGATGACAGTAACCAAATTCCTCTTCAGCTTGACTAAGCAATTCTTGAAACAAAAGTTCGTTCAAGAATGATACTGGAATCAAGAACCTCCTTGCATTCTCTCCAACATAAATGGCAAGATAGCCTTTTGGGACTTCCACTTCTTTTCTAGATGCTTGGCTTGCACTAAACGATGATCGTCTAATACCAGGTAAGCGAAAACCCATTCTTGTTTTTTTTCTTTTTTCACAATAGAATGATCTCAAAGATTTAGTAGAAGAAAGCAGTGAACTTGATTTCCGATGCTTCAAGGTATGAATATATATATATATATATATATATATATATATATATATATATATATATATATATATATATATATATATATATATATATATATATATATATATATATATATATATATATATATATATATATATATATATATATATATATATATATATATATATATATATATATATATATATATATATATATATATATATATATATATATATATATATATATATATATATATATATATATATATATATATATATATATATATATATATATAGAAAACCAATTGAATGGCGAATGAGTTATTGAATGAGGTTTAGTGGGAGCCATGGCTCATTAATGATCACATGGTACTGTCTTGAAGGCTTTCGTAGGGGACTGTATGAAATGTGAGTTTACATGACCCACCTTTTGGACAACTAGTGTATGAAAGAGACCTGAGATAACCTACTTATTATATTTCAGGCAAGCTCTAAACACATCAAATATCTTGTTTTTGTAAGTCAAGTAGAGGAAAAATTCAGATATGATCATTCGATGGGTGGCCTCACAATTCCTTGCACACAAGATGTTTTCTTGCTTATTACATCTCGCTTCAGTGGACTATAAATCTAGAGCTGCAATAGACTGACATTAGATTAGCGGTGACATTTTGTACAACAGTCACAACTTATATTTGTATAGATTTTTCCTTTCCTTACTTTTGGAAATAGTATTGTCCATTTGAGTGACAAATTCAGCAACAAAATATTTGTTATTATTTATTTCTAATCTAATGACATTATATTCAACAACTGCATGGGTTCCTTTATGCTTCTATTTATTATATTTAGCCAACCAGTAATATTTTACTACTTTTTGAGAAAATACACCCTGAGAGAAAATTTGAAAAATATTAAAGGGAGTGTTTATCATTATCAAACCAATTATTCTACATTTATTGGCCTAATTAAGTATTTAGCCAAACTATAATTATAGATAAGTTACCTTGTATCTAAGTTCAAATTATTTTTACATGCCTTATGATTCTATTCTATCAATTGCTTCTTCATCTAGGCAGAGCAATGAACTGACCATGCAACTTGCAGGACAGTTAAATGTTAGTTTTGTCTATTCGGTGGCCTTAGAATATAACCTCAAAAGTCCCGAGAAGTTGTTTGATTACGACATGTCAACAACTCTGATTAAGGGAAGCTAAGCTAGAGCCTTGTACTTGGTTTCAGCTGATGGTCCAGCAAAACTTTGAATTATGTAATTTACATTGACTTGAAACTCATGTTTATATGCCATTTTATGTGTAGATTATGGGAATAGAACTGGGAATAAAAGGCGTTTCATAATTGGGTCAATAAGTGGTAAGTCTGAACTCTATTATTTGATGGGTTTAGCTTCTATTTTAGTCTCTAATTAAATGTGTCTCCAATACTAATTATTATATTGCTCTATTCTGACTCTGTTTAAGTCATAGAGTTAGTTAGTTCTTGAAACATGTGAACTGCGTTTTTTATTGTCTAGTCACTCTTCACTTACTATATTTATGATTTAAGAGAGGATATTGAATGTAGGGAGATTGAGATAATCTTTTGATTAATAAATACATAATACAAACTTTTATGTGTAGTGGAGGGCTGCTAGGAACTTAGAGTAAAGGGTTGCCACTAATTGAATGCTTTCGGACAATAACTTCGATGCTAAGTCCATGTGAAGAGCATGAAAATTCCCTGTGTTTGTGGATTGCATCACCTTCTTTAAATACCACAACAAAATGCAACATACAAATACAAATTAATCGGTGACTAAAACGTTGTTTTGAGTTTTGTTGACTCATCTATGGCCTCGTAATGTATACCAGTTTTGCATTACCATATCTATTATTAAATTGGGGCATGGCTTGTGTTTGTGCATGCAATGCAAGTATTTACGATGACAAAAAACAACAGATGAATTCATAAGAATATAGTTTGATTAGATTCTCATTTCATATTTCCACTTACGAGGAAACATCAAAATTGACAAAGAAATTCCTAATGTACAAAAATTGTCCTAACAAGTTAATCTACATTGCTCTATGCTAACTTTCATATGATATTTTTTTGCCGTATGAATTAATCATAGGTTGTTCAAGCAAGAAGCTGTATGTAAGAAGACATCTTCCTTGCAAGGAATTGTAAGACCGCCCATTGGATGACAGTAACCAAATTCCTCTTCAGCTTGGCTAAGGAATTCTTGAAATAAAGGTTCGTTCAAGAACGATACCGGAATCAAGAACCTCCTCGCTTTTTCTCCAACGTAAACTGTGAGATAGCCTTTTGGGACTTCCACTTTGCTAGATGCTTGGCCTGCACTAAATGATGATCGTCGAATACCAGGTAAAAGAAAACCCATTCTTGTTCTGTTTCTTGACAATAGAATGATCTCCAAGAAATAATAGAAGAAAGAAGTGAACTTGAATTCTGATGCTTCAAGGTATGAATGGTTTGTGTTATATATATATATTTCATAGAAGACTGTATGAAATGTGAGATTACATACCCCACCTATATATATATATTTCATAGAAGACTGTATGAAATGTGAGATTACATACCCCACCTTTTGGAAGATTATTCTATGAAAGAGACAACAGGTAGCTTACTTAACATATATATTTAAGACAACCTCTAAACACATAAAATATATTGTTCTTGTTTTTGTAAGACAAGTGGTATCTACCAATACTTGATATCCAACCAATAAACCATGCAATCTTCTTGGAAGCTGCTGCAACTTTGTATGAACAGACTACTGCCATATTGTTGATCTAACCGTAAAATGTGGCTAATATATCAATTGGATAAGTATTACATGGATCAAAATATGAAATTTGGTTCCCCAATTGAGCCAAACGTTAACTAAAACAGTAGAAGTAAAAACGTCTTTCTTAAGTTTCTGTTTAAGAGTTTAGGAGGAGAGAAGAGGGTTTTGAAAAAAGGAAGGATGGTGTGTGGAAGGAACGGAAAACTTTTTGGAGGGTTTTAGAGGGGCTTATATAAATTCTTAAAATTCAATCCATGTTTGTTATAAAACACTCAAAATTAGAAATATATTTATCTTAGATTGAGAATAGTTTCCTTTTGAGTTAGAAAAAACATACTATTCAGTCCCTTCTCTGCAACAAACAGGAAAAATATTATGAATCATAAATACAACTCTACTTGTTTCCCTTGAATTCAGTGCTCAACATTTTAAAACAGGTTCATCGATAAAGTTATGCTGACATATTATTCTTATGAGCTGAAAAAATCAGTCCACCTTATAATAGAATATCTTGGCAGGGCATTGTTGCAAGACTTTTTTTCAGAAGACTGCAATTATTGAAAATGAAATATATAGGACTGTTGACATTAATAATTCAATTTTCAGAATACAGTTTTCTGCTACTTGTGGATTCAAACCTGTACTAGTACTATCTTCTGGTCAGGATGACTACTGACCAATCCCTTGATACAGGTTTCATTGTTGATTCCTGGCATATATGATTTGTAGCGACTAATTAGCTTTAAAGTCATCTCTTCTCTAAGATGATTTTTGCTGCTATATGTCGACATTGAGCCGTTTTACCAATATGAAGAGAACTTAGCACATGACTACAAATACTTGAGTGGCCATAAGTTAAGCACTAATTTGAATCTTCCTATCTCATTTGACATCCAAGTGAGTGATCTACAAAAGATGTGGTGTATATATGCACTCTTATTGAACTTACTGGTCCTTGATAGAGAGATATCAAAAGGAGATTTCATGTGATCTCTCATCTCATGGACCCCATCATTTAGCAATCACTTCTCAACAAAATAGATTCCAAGAAACTCTTGAGACTATAAATACGCTACCTTCCTTCACAACTATCATAACTCATTCACATACTCAACCATCAAAAGCTAGTTATACTTTTCTTATATTTGAGAGCTTTACTTGTTCTTTGAAACATTTGAAATGGGATTTCATTTACATGCAGTTATTAGATGTGCTTCATTAAGCAAAAGCCGAACATCATCAAAGGTAATGAATATGCCAAAGGGCTATCTTGCCGTGTATGTTGGAGAAGAAATGAAGCGGTTTGTGATCCCCATGTCATACTTGAATCAAACTTCATTTCAAGACTTGTTGAGTCAAGCAGAGGAAGAATTCGGATATGATCATCCAATGGGTGGCCTCACAATTCCTTGCAACGAAGATGTTTTCTTGCATATTACTTCTCGCTTCAATGGACTATAAAGATGAATTACTAGACTAGTGATTTCTTGGGAAAAAAATTCTAACTTCATCCTAAAGTTATGACGAGAACAGTTTAACATTTTAGTATTTGACAAATCCAAGTTACTGCTTTAGCTTCTAATTTAAGAGATAATGTTATAATTTCTACGCAAAGGTTTTAAAATGCAATTGGATATTAGGTATTACAGCGGATCCCAGTCAAATAACTTCCTTTGTGATCACTGATATATTCTTCTGCAATGTGTGGTTCATCAATTTCCTGGTTTTTTCCTCACCACAGGAAAAATATCATTTTATCTCGTGCTTCTTCCAATTCTATATACAATACAAATTCATCCCCATCTTGAAGGGTTCTGATAGAGTCTGACACCACACAATAAAATTTGAGAGTAATTACAACTATTTCTTTAGTAATTGATATATTTTGATCCTTACAAATTTTTTATGAATGTAGGCTTACTCTATGTTATTTTTTTAAATCTTGAAAACTGTTTAATTATCTTTAGATTTTTAATTTTTTGAATAATTTTTTCCATACATGTTTAGAATATAATAAATTGTTTCTTTATCAAATTTTAGAATTTTTTAAAATGAGAAGAATCAAATATGAATTTTTTAAATTTCAAAAAATAATGATAAAAGAAATGAAAATCTCTACTTAAAAATTAAATTCAAAATTATTTTTTTTAAGGAATTTTTTATAATATTTTTAAAAGATAATCATTCAAAAATACATATTGATTTAACAACAGAATTAAAATTAATTGCATAATAGCCTATTTTTTTATAAGAACCAAAAATAAAATTTGATAATTTATAAAGATAAAAAATATGAATTTTTTTTATTATAATAACTAGGTATTAAAAAAAATCGCAAATAACCATGTTTCAGATAAAATTACGCAAATAACTATATTTCAGAAAACCCCACAAGAGAGGAGCCAATTCAGTTGACACATCCACTTAGCATTTTGCCTTAGGCGTCATCTCACTTGTCGCATGCTCTCTCATTTAGCCAAGTGAGATGACTCATGCACTTTAAAAGTGAATGGAGGCGCCATCTCACTTGGCTCCTAGGGCAAAATGCATTTTTTATAAATAATTCGTCAGTTTCTCCGTCATTCCTCACACTTTCTCGCACTGTCCTCTTATTTTTTCTCTGTTATTTGCGTCATGACATCGCCCATGATTTTTATCAGAGATGGTTACGTTATTTTCTCGGCCACAAAATCTCTTATGAAAATGAAATTTTGGCACATTCACTCCATGGAGCGTCTAAAGAGGGAGTTAATGTGGTGGTTAGAGGGAGACATCGAGGATGGGGAACAAATTAGAAGGATCAAGCGAAGAAGAATAGCCACCTCACTTGCGACAGAAAGACCTAATTTTTGGTTGGAGGAAGTCAAAACAGACAGCGACGTAATGTTGATGATGCATGGGTCAGATGAAATTATTTTAATGGTTGTAATTCCGTAGATGGTTTATCGTGTTTTATTTCTTGTTCGCGCAAGGTTTATTGTAACAAATGCTGTTAATGAAAAACCCTAATGTTTACAACTTAAAAAAGTAAAGATGTTTTGTAATACAATTTTTATGTAGTTGAGTCAGTAGCCTGAGTCAGACAATTTTTGCGATTGTGTCCGACCTGACGACATAAACCATACTTTCTTTTCAGCTTGTCAAAGGAGTCCATTTCAATTGTGATGCGCTTACTTTTGGGACGATCCTTTTTATTCCTTCGCATTTGGTCATTGTGCCATACTATTTCGCCATCGTATACATGTCAATAATTAGGTTTTGCTACCAAAGGGAAGCTATTGTTGTATACATTGAGCAAAGTTTCAGATTTGTAAATGGGAGACAGAAGTTGTAATGCGTCTTGATGAGTATAGGCACACGCAACAATGACATGAGAGCAAGGCATACGAAAGACTTGAAACTTACCACAATCGCACCAACGGGAAGGTAGTATAACCCTATACTCTTGTCTTGGCAGGCCCTCGTTGTGGTCGATTGTCTCTTTGACAATGAAGTTGTGACTGTGTCGGTCGAACCATATAACCAAATGGGTGTTGTCTTTGGTAGTTTCTGCCTTAATATACTTCATGCAACTTTCACTCCATAGTTGTCCAGATTGCAACACAACATTCCATATTTCACCTCTTTTAGCAAACAACGAAGCCATCTTAAAATATGTTTATTTAACCAAAGCAGTTACTGGGAGGTTTCGTATGCCTTTGAATACCCCGTTCATGGATTCAATTAGATTTGTTGTCATGTGGCCCCGTCTTTGTCCATTGTCGTATGACCTAGTCTATTTTTCTATCGGAATGTTATCGATCCACCTACCGGCATCCGGATTTGACAAACGGATCTCGTTGCGATAATATTTGAACGTAGGTTGTGTCAATGCATATCTTGCATTCATAACCGCTTTCCTAAGAGCTTTGTCTTTGATCTCCCTCGTGAAATTTTGGACGATATGTCTAATGCAATAGACATGCATAGAAGGAGGGTCATGTCAACCATTTGCAGGATTGTTGTATGCACTTTCAATAGATGCATGTCTATCAAAGATCAAACAGAGATCTGGTTGAGGAGTCACGTGTGTTCGGAGATTCTTGATAAAGAAGCTCCAAACACCACCAGTCTCTCCCTCGACTAGGGAAAAGGCAATTGGGAAAATATTGTTGTTGCCATCTTGTGCAACTGCCATCAATAGTGTGCCTTTGTATTTCCCATACAACCAAGTCCCATCAATTTGTATAATTGGTTTGCATGACGCAAACCCTGTGATGCAAGGTTGAAAAGCCCAAAACACTCGACTAAATATTCCATTTCCGGTGAGTTGACTACCATCTGGAATGCATACTGGCAGTGTTTCCAGAATGTAAACAGTACCTGGAGAATAAGTCTGAAGTGCATTCAGGTAGCGAGAAAGTTCTTTATATGACTCCTCCCAGTTTCCATATACCTTTTCAATCGCCTTGGTCTTTGCTAACCACGCCTTTCAATAAGACGGAGTATAGTTAAATACCATAGTGATGTGGGAGATTATGGTTTTCACCTTCAATGATGGATCGTTGCTGACAAGGGGTAGGATTTCTTGACATATGAGATCATAATTTAGTTTCCGATGATCCTGTGATTGAGTAGAACTGACACACGTGTGGGTGGATATAGAACCTATGATCCAACAATGACCTCTTAATCTGTATGATGCAGTGAGCTTGAACATATAATCCGGGTGGATACACTTGATCTTGTACCTTTCTGGATTTACACGGTCTACCTTAAAATCGACCGAGTTGAGCATGTGAAATTTTTTTATAGCTCAGATACATTCTTCTCTATTACGAAATTTGTCTTTCTCTTTTAAGTTTTCATCCGACTGCATATACGGATTGAAAAATAAATCAGATGACGGTTCATCTCTGCCCATGTTGAAGTTTGTCAAGTGCGGAGGTGGTGTGTAGATCTCATTTGAAGGTATACCAGGTATCCCATCATCTTCGGAATCATCGTTGACCATGTTGTCAAACTCCAACTCGTCATCTTCTTCTTCTTCGTCAACGACATCTACTTCTGTTTGTTCGGTCTCCAGAGGATCAACCACTTGTGACAGCTGAGGCTCTCGCAACATAATGTACAACTCAATAGAGTCATACCCAGAATAATCATGACTGGAAAAAATATTCTGAAGGTCCTCGTCATCTTGAACCTCAACCTTATAAAATATTATTTGGTTGTTACCAAAAAAAACCGGATTTTGATAAAAGATTTGTGTCACGGGACCTCGTCCAAGTTTGGCCTCCAATCGTTTTTTGAAATACAAGAAATTGGCTTTCTTGTTTAAACAAAATCAGATGTTCTCAATGTCTCTAAACTAAAAACCAGAGGTGGGACAAATGTATGTCTCACTGTTGAAATGTGCACTTATCACATATTGGGGTGCAGGGGTCATTGTGTATGACTGTTTGAAGGTTTGAAAGTTTGAAGGTTTGAAAGTTTGAAGGTTTGAAGTCTTTGAGTTAATTGCTTGAATTTTTGAATGTTCTAGTGTTTGAGTGATTAAGTATAGAAGTGTTTTGATAAATGTAAGATTAAATAGGTTGTACTGAATTTGAATAAACCAACAGTAAGCAACCTATAATTCGTCTCCCTTCACGTCCAATCGTGTTACATGCATGCAGAGATGCCTTCTCCAAGACTGTCACCTAGCCTGCACCTACACTGGAATCCATGCCACCTCTTATTCGCCAACAGGGATGGCGAAACCTTTCATTTTTTTACTCATTCGCCAAGTCCAATGGTGCCTCCCTTCACGTCCAATCATGTTACATGCATGCAGAGATGCCTTCTCCAAGGCTGTCACCTAGCCTGCACCCACACTGCAACCCATGCCACCTCTTATTCTCCAACAGGGATGGTGACACCTTTCATTTTTGTACTCATTCGCCAAGTCCAATGGCGCCTTGTAACGCCCCGTTTTATTTAATATTATATTATATTAATATTTTCGAGTTACCGTTTGACGTTTATTTTTGCGACAGAAATTTTTCTATTAACCGTTATATCTGTTAATATATTCGGCGACGTTTTATTCGGACCAGTAATTATTTTATTCGGTCCGGTACTTGTTTTGAGGGATCGGTAATTATTTTATTCGGTTCGGTATTTGTTTTGAGGGACCGGTAATTATTTTATTCGGTCCGGTATTTATTTCGTTCGGTTCGATAAAATATTATTCGGATCGATATTTAATTATTCGGAGTTATTTTAATTATTTGGGTTAATAATATTATTTAGTATTATTAGTGTTATAACTAGTAGTAAGACCAAGAGCTTTTTAGTATTTTTGCTTGCTAGTGTCTTGTTCTAAACAAACCAAACACACCTTGTTTTGTCATTAAACACTAAAACACATAGAGAGAGCAAGAGAGTCTTAGAAGAGAAGAAGAGGAGCAAGAACAAAGCTTGGGTTTTGGGTGATTGAGACATCAAGAATCATTTCAAACATCTAAGGTAAGGGGTTTGATTTTCCAATGCTTATAATTAAGGTTTGATTTGGTATATTTTTGATTTAGGATAAAATTGATTTTTAGGGTTTATGAGTTGTTGAGTGATTATTAGAATAAATTAAGGAATTGATTTAGGTGTTGTTGTTGTTATATTGTTATTAAGTTAGTTAATATGGAGTTAAATTAGAAAAGAAACAGAATTAATATTAAGTAGAATATACAACTGTCAATTTTTGCAAAACATAATTATGGAGGTTCTTTAGAAATTTTGGAATTTAAAAAAAAAACAAAAAAAAAAGAAGTTGAAAAGTGCATGAAGCACTTAG